GTAATTTAATAGCATAACTGTTATAATTCAAATTGCAGAGCGACCCAAAAGTAGTACAATTACTAGGGGAATTACATGCTGAACTACGACTTGCAGCAAATTCGAGGTCAAGTGGACTAGTAGACTCTCATCTCCCTGTATTAAATCCGCTATCTATAGGTATGTATTCATTGTGAATATTCTTTCTTTCTCTTTTATATTTGTGATGAATTATTGTTTTATGTCTTACTTTTGCAGATACAAATGCAGCACAGTCAGGAAATTTTGATGCACATGCAGTTTATGCTGGTGATGATGCAATGAGTTCTGGAAGATGGTCACAAGTGGCTACAGCAGGTGTTCGCAGTGCATTATTAGCGCTAATGTCGCGCTACGGTTTGGAAACTTGCAATCCTTCCCCTGTTATCACCCGACCCCCAGGTAAACCAACATCCAACCTAACGCAGAACCTTTCCCTACCTTCGACTTCCTCTCAGTCAGCATTTAGCTCATAATGATTTGTACATATAACTCTTTACAGCGTTTTAAGCTATATTCTGTATAAAGTTGGAAAAGGTCTAAATTGCTATTTTTTAAATTAACTAGGCATGGAAGTACAACTGCATCCAAGTTGTTTATAGACTCTACTATCTGTTTATAACTGTAAGTGCACATTCGGTGTATAATTGTATATAATTGATGTATTATTAATACGTGACCAGTTACTTAATATAGTACTTGTATCTTTAATAATAACAATATGCTCTTTATAGTATACACTTATGCGACATATGAAATAAGAGCTTTGAAGTATTAATATTTATCAGTTTAGTTTGTTCACGCATAGATTTTTGTTTTCGTATTAAACATTTAATACTTATGTGCATACATGGAAACACATACATGATGTATGTACATTTGGAAAGTTTAAACAAAATATTTGGTCAATATAGATACTTTTATCTTTTTCAAAAAAAAAGAACTTGTTTTTCAAATATTTAGCGTTCATTATATACAGTTTTACGTTAGGTAATATATTTTGTTATATTCAATGAATTTACTAAAAACAAAAAAAAAAAGGAAAAATGGAGTAGGTTGGAAAGAAAACTAAAATTCGATACGTTTTAAACGTTTATTTGTTGGATAAGCTTTTCTTTTTTTTTTTACGTACGATGTTTCTTATTTATTGTGGAAATATTTACGGGATGTAATGTACATAATATCCAGACATAATAAAGAGATAAAAGTACAAATATAGTAGGATTTTTTTAGGGCAGGAGGAGAAACTGATTCAATGATGTAAATTCGTATTTACAAATTAAGTACATCATAAGTAGATAAATTTGTTTGGTTAGATATTTTACGGAATTGTCGAATATCCTTTTCTTCTCTTATTTGCAAAGGATAATAAAATTGAAGTTTCTGGAGTTATTTTTTTAACATAATAATAATAAAAAAAGAATGGAAGAAAAATTAACACAAGTTTCACGAACGTTTCAGATTGAAGTGATTCCAAGAGAAACACGTACACTACGAAAGTGAGGTTAGGACGTGTGCTTCTATACCGGCAAGCTGTATACAATATGTGACGATATCATGGCGATTTGTGCTGCGGTTTAAAAAGAAACTGGCGACACGCTGTAGATTATTCAGTGAAGTGATCAACAGTATGATATGTGGGAATGAATAATAAATTGTTTATTTTGTTGAATTTGTTCGATTCTATGCACGGTGTGATAATAATATAATATAATAAAAAAAACGCAACGAATTAATTAACATCAAGTGAAAAGAGGAGCAGGGTATTAAATTGTTAAAAAAAAAAAAAATTACCTAACCTCGTTCATTTTACTGATGGCTTTATCAAATGTTTTACAATTCGATTGTTCAATGGACAATCAGATTGCGCGAAATGCTACGAAGAATTTCGCTGAAATGCTAGGAAAAGCATTCGAACAATACAAAAGTAAGTATGTATCACGTATTACACATTGTTTCTATATCAACAAATACAACCTTTGTTTATATTTTTTTTATTACAAGAAATGTATTACAAATTAGAGAATTGTTTTGTACATTTTTTGTGTTTCGTTTTATAATATATATTTTTTGGTCTGTTGATTTAAATTAGAAGATAGAAATAGATTCTTTGTAATGAATTATGATGCAAATACTGTATGTTATGAATGGAATTTTGAGTGAATTTTTTATAGTCAAATTTTGTACAATATTTACACAACAGACATTTATATTTGCAGAGCTGTGGAATGAATATTTAAAATTGCTAAAACATTATGAGGGTGTTGACTTTAAGATTCCACTTGAATTGTTTGAATCAGATATTTTTGATAATAAAGATATGTAAGTTTTGGATTTATTGATCTACAATTTTTAATATAAGATTACATTATATATTGTTTAATTTTCTATATTTCAGTATTGCACCTGCTATTGATCAAGTGTTAAAAAATACAGAAGCATCTTCGCATAAAAATATTAGTTGTAGTTTTGATAGTATTTCAAGTATAGACAACATTTCACCTAATACATCGATTAATCATCAAATACAAGAAGACAAATTATTAAAGAGTCCGATACTTATAAAGAAATATCCTAAATCCAAGAAGGAGAGTGTTACAAATGGTCGATTTAATGTAAAAAATTACAAGAAAAATGAAATGCGTTCGCGCCTACCAACCAAATTAGATACTTCTATTTTAATAAATCTAGAGAATAATGTTAAGCAAGAGACATTATCTGAAAATGAAAATAAATGTTCAATTATTGAAAATAAGAATGATGAGATAGATACATCTGTTACCAAAATGTCAAAAAAATTGGGAGTTAGTACATTATATAATGTAGATACCACTTTATTACAAAATGGCAAAAAACTTAGGCAATCAAAACTTGTGGTTCTTGAAGATGAACAATCAACTAACACCATAGATCAGAAGTATAATAGTTCAAATTTTTTAACAGTACATGTTCCGCCTAAATTTAAAAAAGACATAGAAGAAAATTTCAAAAATCATAATAATTCTATAGCAGAGGATATAATTCAAAATAGTCCGAGTAAACGTAGGAAGTTGAATTTAAAAATGAAAAATGTAAAACTAAAATATATAACTTCAGAAAAGGGAATTAAACAAACTAGTCCCAGTTGTCATTCACCATCTTTACAAACATCTATAAAAGAAAATCAAACGTGTTTATTTACAAAGCCAAAAGTATTTAATTTTTGTAGTGGAAATGTTAGTAATGATGATAAGATACAAGAAAATAATGGTCGAATGAAAGAAAAGACATATTCAAAAGCAACTGGTCAATTGCTTGGTATCAATTCTTCATGTGATGAAACATTCTGTATGTTAGGGGAAGAATTCAAACAAAAGTCTGCTTGTGATACAAATGAATTAAAAGAAAATAAGTCTTCAAGAAAGAATCTTATGAACAGTTTTGATATGTAAGTATATATAAATGTAAAAGGTTTTCTAAAATATTTATATTTAATTTAATGTATTTTTTGTAGACCAGATAAGGAAGAACATATATTTGTTAAACCATCAAAAAAGAAGTTGGAAAGGGCACAGATGAATGGCGTTTCTTGTTGGGAATGTAAACGGGTAACATATTTTTATAAATGTTAATGTCATAAATAATTAATTGAAACAATATTAAATGTGGTTTATTTGTTTTGAATACTGTACATGCAGGATGTATAAAGTAATATGTACGTTTATGAGTGTTTGTATGTACATATGTATATAATATAATTTGAATAATTCCATCTAAGAAACTTTTCTTTTAGTATTACGCTAGTCTTGGACTTTCTGAGGAAGAAATAAAAATGAGGCAAAATAAGTGTTCTAGACACAGAACTGTGTATAATGAAAGAAATTCTACACCTGATGGTAATATATCTCTCCATACATTCCGTACATCTCTCTGAAACCTATATACTTAAATTATATAAACATTTGTATATTTCAGATTTCTGGAATCCTCTATTTCCTGATGCTTCTTTTAACTCTACTTACCAAGATTAAAGTAAAATTTGTTGATGTAAATTTTGTTTGAAAATCATACAAAATAAAAGTACAAATTATATAAATATTTATAATTTCAGATATGTGATATGTAAAATATAGTGTTTAAAAAAAGGAAAATAAATCTGAAGAATAAAAACACATACCACATGTATGATTTGAACATAGACTGATTTATTATATTATAACACATATAGTATTACATTTTTTTGAGTGTATGTGTAACACACACACGCACACATAGTATAGATTTATATATTATTTCATTTTATATAGACTCATCCTTTTGCATAAAAATATAGAATCTTTTATATGAATCTGTGCTAAAAGAGACTAATGAAACATATTTTGGTTAAGCAAACTCACGTTTAGTTCACAATATATTTGTACTAATTTAACAAAGTATAAGCTATCATAACTAATGTTTTGAATTTTCTTACTTAGATTTTTAGAGCGTATAGTATTCAGAAATGAAAACAGCATTATAAAATTTAATTATTCGACACTGTATGTTATTTTTAAGTTTGTTTTGTAATTTTATTTATTTGCAGTACCTGATAAATGTATGACTGCTTTATAAGTCGCAATTCAGTAGAAAAGAGAAAGTAATAGAAATGGAGAAAAAAAGCATTTTGTGTAATCGTACTGCACAATAAAGAGAAAAGAATTTCAAATACAACTTGCTCATCCTGTGGGAGGCTGGATCTACAGGACGAACGAAGCCGTAGCTTTAAAGTAAGGACAATGCTTCCATTTATAACTCGTAAGATTGACACAGCAATTTGTGCAAACATGTATGCGTATATTTTTCCTTTAATATACCGCTTAATATCATTTTCATGATATCGATGATTAAACATTTCATTCACAGGCGTGTTCATCTCCACATGGTATTTAAAACATTAATTCTAATTCATATTTCACATCGAGAAGACGTTTTTACAGTAATTTTTTTTTTAATAATAACGATACTTAATTATAATGTGAATTATATTGTGCAGCTCGATCATTTTTATTTCTGAACGCGTAGAAAAAAGATTGAGATAAATAGTGCTTCTTGCGAATTTCTCGCATGAAATTTTATATTTAACGCCTAAAAATTTCATTTCACGGAAACAACAGTCATAGCCATCTATTAAAATCCATTCTTTTTAGAACATGTAACAATAGTATAAAAATTCTGATTTCAATTTCTAATGTGGAAATTTCGATTCTCGCATTTCTAACATAAAAGTTTCAATGAAGCTCTGTATATCAAAGACTCTTCTAAAGAAATCAATTCAACAAAGTAGATAATTGAATTGAACGCATAGTTAATTATATATGACTTAATTAATGTGAGCATCAACGTTATATACACTTGATAGAATTGACTGAGCAGATAGAATTATGTTAATTATTCCACAATATATTTTGGTATCTTATTTAAAGCTATTGTAAAGCACGTTAGTAGAGTTGTCCATGAGAGGAAGCAACGTATTTTTAACTTAAAAGTAAAACTTTTTGTAATATGAAATTAAAGATAGAATACAAACTATACAAAGACTGAGCTACATAATGAGAGATAAACATCCATTTCCACGATAAAACAATATACCGCGTTAAAATTTGGTCACTGCAAAAATTACTTCAAAAGACAAATTTACAAGGGCTCGCAGTACAAATGATTCCATTACTAGTTGATACCTAGAATTCCATCAGCTGCATAGCTCAGTCTTTCGAATCCATTTGCTTGTACTCGACTATTCAAATAGGCCGTAGTCAAACGAGATGCATAATTAAATATTATAGATTGCCACGTAAACTTTTCTCTAAAATAGTTGATATAATTTATATATATTTATCTCGTAACATGAATAAACAAGCAAAATCTTCATAATTTAAAGAGTTCGATGTTTTCTATAATGAAGCATAGTTAAAACAATGGCTTATTGGAAATTTATAACAGATTTGTACGATGATAGGATATGTTCAAAAATATTTAGAAGAAAGTTCTAGAGAACAAAAGATGCGATTACGGTCGACTAGAAATATTTGGCCATTTTTTTCTCTGGTAAATTGTAATTAATACTTTGCCTGTGTTCGCCGCGATTGCAATTTCGAATCAAATCTTACTGGTCTTGCTTTGTCGAAGAATTTCCCGGAAGAGAAGATTTTTCTGCAGGGGGTACAGGTAAAGCTTTAAGGATAGCGTGCACTTCTTCTGCCACTGCCATGAGAACAAATTTAAACTGTTGCTTTGTCGCAACCATATCAGATCTTTGATCTCTTATATGTTCTAATGTAGCTGCAATATCGATTTCCTTGGCTCCTTTCATCATACGGTTCAGGACCATGTCGATTAAACAATATGTACCAGTACGCCCAGCGCCATCACTATAAAAAATCATATTTCTTACTTCTATTCAATGAATCATTGTATGTGTCAGATAAAATTACGAACTATGTATTTTGCAAAAGAGCAATTTGCTATGATAAGTATAATATCTTAAATATAAATTTTACCTGCAATGCACAACTATAGGGCATGACCTGCCTTTGTAAGACTTGTTAATTTTCCTAAAAACAGACAATAATAAACATTAGAATACATTTTATATAAATGTATTCATATAAATGTAAACATATTTATATGACTATAATTTAAACACCGTAATTATTGTTTGTATCACTGAATGCTGAAGTTTAAATTATATTTACAGTTTTACATTGTGACTACTTACCGGCGGAATTCAAGGAGAGCCTTGATGGAGTGTGGCACGCTATTCTCAGGCCAGGACAAGAAGTGGAATTGGGTTACAGTTCTTGTTTCACCGGTACGTAAATTCTTCAAGTAGAAGGAACGCACCAAGTAGTCGTCGCACCAGAAATGCTCAGAAACAAGATGCACCTCATAAATGTGATACAATTCTGATCCTTCTTCCGGCCAATAACGGTGACACATGGCAACACCTTCTTCGGTAAGTCTAGTTAGCATCACGATTACGACGCTGCCTTGTTCCCAAACTAGCTGCCAAAAATCAGCCGTTGTTTCTGGCAATGGTCCTTGTGTGGCGATATAAGCTGGATTTCGAGGATCATGGTCCGTCTAAAAAGAAAGAAAAATATATTTATTTGAAACATTATTTTCTTATCATTAATCCTACATTGAGAAGCAAGTCACACGGCTTTCTTGAGTACGTAGCAAGCGTATTTCCTATTTTTTAAACTATTATTACGTGATTTTGGTGATTTTTTTCTTTACATTATGCAGAAGTTGTTTAGATCTTATTATAATTAAATTTGCATTTTTTATGTTTAATCTAATAAAAAGCCATTTTGTGGGAGTTAAACTAATACCTAAACTATTGTAGTGCACGCATAACGTTCATCTAAAATAAAAGTTTATCACAAAATGTAGATATAAATTTACAAGAAAAATTCATTTTTTGTACAGTCTTCTTGAGCTTTCTATTTAAATATTTACTTCTGTTCACAATTAGTTTCAATGATAAATTAAAACAATTAAAAGTTTTGTATGTCAGGCACTTATATTAACTTCTTCGCTGCTTTTCGTACAATGATCTTATTTTTAAATTTATATCTATATTTATGATACCTTAAAACTCATGCCTCGATTTGCAATCAATACTATTGAAATCTACGCGGAAGCGTTCACAGAGGAAGCATTGTTTCGTCATTAAAACTGCGAGAATATAACAGAAAACTCTCCATGCTCCATGTCGTGTGACTTACCGATTTCTATTTTCAGTTCCATTTTCAATGATTTTAAAATGTAAACCACGTACGTGTTATTTTACTCTATATTTATGTCTTTCTTGAATTTTGAAGAAATGTCAAAGTATAGACAATTTTAAGAATACTTACGATCGTAGAGGCGTTAATATAGTCGGAGTTATTGGCATTAGCATAATCGTTTAGAATCACCCTGGAATGATCGTAGGGAATTGCTGCACCAGGACGATTACATTTGACGTTCTCTTCATTTTGTGCGACCTCGGTCGAACAAGGATCCACCTCGTACGCGCACAATGCCGCCCATTCTTCGTCCAATCGATCTTTATTCTTCAAATGACCCTCCATGTAACTCTGGAGATAATACGCAATATTAAAAAAAATTTTGCAAATTATACATACCTTAATTTAATTAATTAGGTTGACTTCACTTTCTGTGAATCTTTATCTTTGCTTTGAAATGCCTATGGAAATATTGCATCAACTTACCAGAACCATTTGTCCAGTAGATATGTCCATATTTGAAAGAGCCGGTTCCTCTCCCCAAGAGGAGGTGCTAGATCGATTTGACGGCAAATTATTGGACTCGTTCTCCCTGGTTAAGCTTGTAATTCGCGGTGATTCTGGCTTATCTGCCGGTTGTTTGGCATGCATCCTTGCTCTGCATAAATCTTGATAGTCCTTCGATGCTTCCGGATCGGGTGTAGCCAATCCTGCCAGTTTGGCTCTTGCTTTAGCGTGTCGACGAGCGATCACCAATGTGATTGCTGCAGCTGCGATAGCAGCTACGACTCCTGCAGTCACTATCGCTCCGAACATGCTCGAACTCATTTCGGTTTTTCTAACAACTTCCAGCATTGCGGGTAGCTTGGTCTTTAAATAAATAGAAAAAAAAGAGAAGCATATTAATGTTTTGTTTCGACAGAGTTATTTCATCAAAGTGTTTGAATACGCTGTTTAAAATAAACAGAGGATCACATTTCTGATTGTAATATTTTCTTATCGACAAGTGATCCTACAATTTAGTTTGAACGCGAATATTATGTTCTAGATATGTTGTAAGATGAACCTTGTCACCTATGCCTGCACGGATCACCTCGACACCTAGAGTGTTTTTCAATTTTTCACGTATGTCATCTGGAAATAAAATATAGCTGATTAATTTCATGCTTTATACGATTACGTGATTATTAGTTAGATTATTAATTAGATTCGTAGACAAAAGAAATAAAATCTAAATAGAGATTTGCTTAAATTCTACTAAATAAATGATTCTGAATGTTTTTAATGTTTCTGTACATTCCATGCATTTTTCGCATCATTCAATTTTCTTCTTCGTCAAATTATTTGATTACCTATGTTGTTGACTACATCAGTAGCGTTGTAATTCTTATTATTTTTAACCACTTTGAACGTCACTTCCGCACGACCAACTCGAATATCTTTCAAAGAGCCAGACGTTAGTCCCAGTAATTCGCCCACCTAAAAATTAAACGTTGTTTCATCTGTGCTCTTCGAAGCAGATTTATAGATTTAGAGAAAAAACAATTATTACTTTTTCGACAACGTGTTCACCGTCCGACCATTTATGAAATGGTTCTTGAAATTCCACGTAAACATGATCCAGATCGACATTGTTGTACGATTTCGAGTCCGCTTGCTGGCCCACTTCCTTCTTCACATATGGATTAAGCAGCACGTCATTCTAAAATTCAATATTTCATTTTACATTTTATTTCGTATTCCCTCACGTTTGAAATATTTTCCATTTCGAATTGACACTTTGCTTTTCTACGCGATCGATGACTTACGTTCTGTTCGGTTTCAATGGAATCGGAACGATTTTCATTTCCTAAAATAAGAAACAAACTTATAAATAAACTGTCGAAATATCAATTTACGTCGGGGAAATAATGATTGAAAATTCCAATTATTTACCGGACGGCGATGGAGTTTTAAACGCGTAGTTGTTCGTTGAGAATAGTGGCCCCGGTTTCTTAACATCTCCGCGTTTAAATCCGGCTAGACCATGCTTTCGAAGGAGTTCTTTTAAATCGTCAGCGAATAAATTGCCGTAGGCATTGTCTAACAGTACAGAAAGAACAACATTGTAAATTTCTTTTTTCTTTTTTCTTTTAAGCATTTCAAATCAAGTGTAACCTCACGCAACAATACATCTACAATTTATTAATCGAATAGTATACCGTCGGTGTCGATGTCAGCTTTATCAGCAGTCTGAACGAGTCCTCCTTCCGTGTAAATCCCATTGTCCATCGGCGAACTATCCTTCTGAGGCAGTTCTTCTTCGTCGCTCAGATCGTCGTAATCGTCGCTGTTGTAATCGTTCTTCGAGTTACGTTTCACATTTTCCAAAAGAAGCTTGTTCTCGTCCGTGGCGTCGCCGAACTTCCTGGGTTTGTACTTTCCTGAAAACGCTTTCTCGTACTCGAGATCCTCATCCTCCAGCTCCTTTTTATCGGAATAATCCTCGGACTTGTCATTGATCAGGAACTCTAGGTCTGAGAGCTTCTTCGACACCTCCTCCTCCAGAGCATCTTTAATCGATTCCATCGCGTTGTCGTCGTAGCTTTGCAAGTATCTCCCGATCTGAGGTTGACGCCTGGTTCGAGACAGCCTCTCGTCGATTCCATCGAAAGTCAGTGGATTCTTGCGCGAACTGCTTCCGTCGAGGTTCTCCTCGTAGGTTTCTTCGTTCGTTAGTGAGTCGTATTCGTTGTGAGTGTTCGAGTTGTAGAATCTCGGCTTGTAGAGCTGAGAATCGGTTTCTCTGAGATGTCCCTTGTACGGCGATCGAGGATATTCATTGTCGCGAAGAGCGTCGGGGAAATATTGATTTCGTGTGCCAGGAGGATAATAGAGCTCGTTGGCGAATTGGCTGTTGAACTTGTCGTTATTTGGCGTGAATTTCACTATGGCTATCGTGGGCATCTTCAGAAACAAGGTTGCATCGTTACATTGGCGACGCGAATTTTGAAACGAGAATGGGAGGTAATTTTTGAAATGAAATTTTATTACAGCTTCGTGTTAAATACACTTTGTGTATGTCAACTGTGAGATTTTTATTGAAAGACTGATTTTTTTTTCTTTCATTGATTTGTTTAAAGAAGATGGAAATTTTAAAAATTTATAAAATAGAATACTCACTAGCACAACACAAAGCGTTGTTAATTACGATAGCGTGATGAACTTACTCTGGCCTGATCGATTTCATTCTTGTTTTCGAAGTGCGTACGTTGCTTCAAATGCTGACAGAGTCGAAGATCATAGTTTTCTCTAAACGATATAAAAAATTATATTTTAACATTCCGAAGAAAGAAGGAAGAAAGCAGTACTATAATATTGTAAAATTTATGTAACACTGCTTTTCGCACACCTTTTCTTTGGTCTTATATTCTAAAACATTCTTTCTCTTTCTTTTTTAATCATTTATAAATTTTGTAAATATTCACAGAATGTTTCTAAAATATTCAATTGGATTCTTTACATAAAACACGCTTTTTAATAGCTACTTTTTTTAATAGCTCTTTTGATATCAATAACTATTCCTTATATATATTATCTGTATATTAATAATGTAAAGTACCTGTGGCGTAAGTTATACAAGATCATTTGCATGATACATTGTGTATAGGGATGGGACCATTTGTATTCATCTACTTGCAGCCTCTCTAATTGCAGTCTTAGCAACTCCAATTCGTCGACGTTAAAATTATATCTGAAGAAAGGAAAAAACATTAATTAAAAATTTTTAAATTAACTTTAAATAGTTTCGCAAGTTGATACAATATTAACTTGGATATTTGAACATATTTTATTTCAGTAGTTTAACTAGTATAACTGGTAAGTTAAGTTTAAGTAGTATAACTCGTGTGTGGTCAGACACTAAAGGAAAACTATTTACTATTACCATAAAAGATAATATCAATTACCTTTTTTTTTATATTAACGTAAAATATCCTAAATTATTTATCAAGAAACACAGAGTGTTCCAATTTTTGATTAATCGAACTTTATTAGAATATTTCATGAATATAAATGAAGCAACAGAGTCAAAAAGTGGAGTAACTGTTTAAAATGGATGCGAGTACAAAATGTTCAGTGAAATAGCCGATTTTATTTGAATTAAAAAAAAAAATCCCTTCATTCTCGTACAATTCATCAAAGTTCATTGGAACAAATTGTCGTTATAATATGTATACGTTTAGGGAAAAAAAAAACATAAGTAAGAGAAATATTCGTTTAATCAAAATTTCCTAATTTTTTATTGATACATCTTCTTAATCTTTTCTTTCGAAACTACCTTTTTCGCAAGAAGATCTGTCATTTGTAAATACTCACTGATAATAGTCTTCGTCGTTTAGATCCGTGTATAATGGTAAACATCTGCCAAACGCAAGGTCTGTAATATTAGAAGTGGACAATCGAAATTTATTCGTGTGAAACGTTGCTGACTGCGAAGAAAGAACGAATATATTCCTTTGTTCAATTGATAATTACCATTGTAACACGTTTCCATTCGGGGATCACAGAGGCTCTCGCTGAACAGGCATCCTAAAACAAATTTACATGTATCAATAGAAGACTAATGAAGCTTCGATTAACAAGCTTTTCTTTTAACACACTGTATTAGACGAAATTGCAATTATCTTTCTGCAATCAATTCAAATTAAAAATGCTTAATGGAATGTAACGCAAATGCAATACTTATAAAATAGAAATATAATACTTATAAAAGAGTAAATATGCCCCATAAGATCAATTACGACAATATAGCGTAATTATACAATATATATATGCTGTATTAAAATAGTAGAACTTATAATATTTAATACGTGTATTGATTACTAATACTTTGTTTGTCAGTTTTATATGTTGTACGACTATACTACAAATTTTATTTCACATAAATATTTCGTGTACAATGTTACTGCATATTATGTTTATTATATAAAATGATAAAAAGCAAAAGAGTAAAATTGTGCAATATGTACTTATATGGATATGGTTGCGTAATATATAGCTATTTTAAGAAGCATTTCAATGTTGTTCAAATAGGGGAAAAAATGAAAATTTCCTCCCGGTGATAAGATTTGATTGCTCCTCGACTTCTGGAACAGGTAATATGGAACAGGCGAGTGGCGTGTTCATTTCCCTTGACCTTCGTTTTAGAATTGAGCTCTTTTGAAAATACCATCGCGTCGAATATATGTATCTCGATTCTACGTTTCATATTTCACGAATATCCTTGGTGCCGCGAGAGCTTGATCAAGGAAATCACGTCAATTTTTTCCATCAATTATATTTCATACAATAAAATTTATTCTGCTACAATGAAATTCAATTATTATTGTGACAAATAATTGCTTGCTATTTTTAGAAATAGGATAAACCCGCCTCCCCTAACGCGAGATCCTAGATTATCTTCGTGGGAAACTATCGAGCGTAATCGCGATGATTGTTTGTTCAAGACAAAACGTTTATCAGTTGTACGTTAGCGTTAGAAACTATTGAACACCTCGAGGAAACACATGTTAAGTGAAAATTGCATTGTAAAAAGTTTTTTGGAAGATTCTCACTTAACTGTAAATACATTCAACGTATTGATGAGATTGTTTGATCATTTTTTTAACTCTACTGTTATATAGCACAGGCAGTGAAGTTTAAGATTTACTGATAAAATAACGAAGAGTTAATCTTTAAATTATTGAATAGTTATCGTTATAGTTTATCATTGTTCTTTAACATGAGACAGGTCTCATAAGATATGAAACATTTAATTATTTAGTTCACTTTTTCAGATGGACAAACGAGACAAAGATCGGATGGTATTGGTATTTGATGCAACAATTTGAGAATTGATGAAAGTGATGAAGATACTGTTTGAATGACCATACTGAATGAAGCGACCATGAAGAAAATTACGACGCGGAATATTTGTTTCACACAAATACCTCTGTTCTTCCGATGTAGGTGAAGAATGAGCTCACTGCACAAAATGTTACTGTGACGAGTTCACGAAGATTGCTAGGCTGAGATGAGATAGATTTTGTATGCTCAATGTGCAAAAAAAAAAAAAAAAAAAAAAAAAAAAAAAGTTAAAAAAAAAAAAAAAAAAAAAAAAAAAAAAAAAAAAAAAAAAAAAAATNAAAAAAAAAAAAAAAAAAAAAACAGAAAAAGTTCAAAAAAAATAATAAGCTTCTGAAAAAAAACATAAGTGAACTTTCATGTTAGAAACCCGTTTTTCCTCTATTTGCGAATTTTGAGGTAATCATTTTTAATCTAATACGAAGACACTGATCTTCTTTTCACTCCGTTTTCCGATAGATTGTGAAAGAAGAGATATCATTTCCTTTAAAGCGTGTAAAATCGTTTATGAAAAGTGTTTTTAACCCGTACTAGGCGACGTTGCTCTTTGATAATTCAGCCACGAGCATTGAACGGATCAGCTAAGACTCGACAGGGAACAAACCTTCATCAAACAACGAGTCGAATCAAGAAGAACTGTCTTTCTCAAAGCAAGTGACTAGGAGGCAAAGATTTTAGGGACAAGAGAGTGGAATAGAAGAGAGAAAGGAAACGAGGGATAGACGAATTGGAGGGTCGCACTCGTGGATGGAAACGGATCCAGGGCAGAGAAGAGGAAGCAAGTTTGCAAAGGCGGTGCGGTGGTTGCGTGGGATGTACGGTTCGATAATCATGAATGTCTCGTGGGCGAAAATCGAACATCGCCTCCTTTTCTTCTCCACTTTTTCTTTTTTCTCTCTCTCGAGTCCAGCCTTATGTTGAAGGAGCAGCGAATTTTCAAGGTCACGAGCAAATAAGCTTATCTACAGCTTATACTCGATCAGACAGACGGTGTGTGCGAGTAGTCGCACGCGACGAGAAAGTATCCGATGGAAAATCGATGGCGGCTGAGTATGATGAACACAAGGCTATTGGATGGAGAAAAGAGATGTCAAAGAAACTGTTGAGACGAGAAAATTCTATTAGTAATTCCCCTTTTTTCCTTTTGGACTGAGGGGAGATTTTTAGAAATTGGATTCTCACTCCTTCTTATTTCTTATATTTTTTTATTTGTTCTCTACTTGTGAGAAGAATTGTATTTATTTGTTAGTCTTGCCATATTCAGCGAAAGGAAAAGGAAATGTATTAAATATTAAATATTATAGTTGAAACTCCGACTTTTTTCGTCGATATTATAAGATTGTCTTCGTTGCTTTTTTTTATAATAATATATTTTAAAATAATATATTAAACTAAAATTATATTTTGCGTGCGTAAAATAAAGTCTAACTCTCCACTACGATAATATAACAACGGAAATAACAAGGAAAAAAAATTGAAAAATGTCGAAAAGTATTAAGCTCATAATGAATTATTCTAATGCGAAATATAATTAACATTTCTAAAAATTTTTATTAATAGAATTTTTCTTTTGCAGAAGATATTGAAATATTATTCTATTCTGATGGCATTCAGAGAAATATCCGTTAAAAGGACTGTTGATCATCGTTGAAGGGAGAAATGAAATCTTCTCAGAACTATCGATCACGTTGTAATAAAAGGAAAATAAAAATACCAGAGTTTTTCTAAACGAGAAGACTGTAAGGTAAGGGAATCAAGAATTTCATTTATCCCCTTTGCGCTTTCAACCCTCCTTTTTGCTTTTTTTGCACATATTGTGATTCTTTTCTTTTTTTCAGTATAATAGAAAAAGAAAATCTGGCGTATATTGTAATATTATAATGGCATTATAATGTAGTATTATATAATAGAAATAAAGTTTATCCTTTATAAAGGATAAATAATATATAATTTAAAAATATTGGTCACAAATTATTTTTAATTCTACGAAAAGATCATTCATCATTACTTTTCTAAATGTTCTACGTCAGAAACGTTCATTATTGTTTTATAAAATTTGTGCAACATTCATTGTTTTCCATAAATTTTGGATCAAAGTTACTCTTTAAAAGTTATTTTAAAAGTATTATGTAATTCTACGTAACTTCAATGATCATTTTTCAGATAACCACTGAACCAGAATTAAGAGTCTATCACAAGAAACAGTTTCACTTGTTGCTTATTCCAAAGGCATTCAAGGATCTATAAAGTGATTCTCAAACTATTCTCCAGAGGAAAACTGTGGTGGAATAATCGTGGAGATCTTTGACTTACCAACATCACCATCACCCAGAATTACGTGATGAAGGATGAAGAGCACCAACAGCTCCGAGCCTCCTCGCAACCACCGTTTACGGCCCATAGATCTTCCTATAATTACGTATATTCAATTTAGTTTCTTATTCAAAACCAAACAGATATCTCTCTCTATATATATTTATCTTTTTTTTTCATTTAATCTGAACCTTATAGTAACGATAGCTTTTTTTTTTGTGAAAGAAGAAAAATTATCTTGAACAGAAATAAAGATAAATTAGAGTAAGCTAATTACTGTTTCTTTGAAGTTCATGGTTCGAAGTTGGTTGCATATTCATTTTCATTAATGAAAGAACATGGATCTTCATTTTTAATGAGATAAAACGGAGTAAAAGAAGAAACAGAAAGCGAGTTAGAAAATATGTGAAAGATTGCGGTCAACATGTAGAAATGAAGTACAGGTACGTCTCTAATTATGCGTTGATAATTATGACGATTCATTTTTTTGTTTCAATATCTTTTCATTTATATTCGATATAGATATTTATAGATTATAATTGTCTCTAATCATTGTTGTTAATTAATGATATTATAACAAATTTAAAAGCACCATCAAATTTGAAAGAATATCTATCAAAAGATTCTTATTCTTTGACATACTTCCTGTATATATATAATATCTTTTAGTATGATAAATAATTATATTTACAACAATTTTGTCGACACAAATATCTATTTAAATTATTCAGTTAAAATATAACAAAATACAATTAGAAACCGTTCACTTGCGAGATTTCAATTCCACAATGGAAAATAATTCGCGATATGTATTACACTGTGGAAAAGTGTACAAGCTGTTCGGCTCGCTGTACGTGAGTTACATGGCAACTTGTTGAAGTAACCGAGTTGTTCATCAGGTCAGAAACTGTTTTGTCGAATGCAAGAGCTTCGTTAAAATCTTCCAAAAGGAATAAAATTACTGTATTAATCTAATTTCTTCACTGTTGTGAATAACGAATCGCTTCATAAAGGGTGCGGTATACCTTTGCGTAACGTTTACGCAATCACGGTGTATACCCCCATAGTCAAATGACACCAAAGCGAGAGCAAAGCAAATTAATAACAGCACGGAAAATAGCTTACTTAAAATCCGGAGTTCAGACTCGACCAATAGTTCCAATGTAATTACTCCTCTAATTACTCCAATCTCGATTACCATCCAATAAAAACAGCTGTTTGTTCTGTCTCTTCTCAACAATCATTCCCTTCTGTCCCACCAATTTCTACCTTCTATCTTGCAAGTTAAAAGTAGATAAATTAATATACCTTAAACGCACATCTAATCCGATCCCTAACAACTAGAGTCTGCGTTCTGTTCTGATTCAATTCAAGCAAGTGATAAAATTCCGTGAACTACCGACCACGTCTCCAGTTATACAGTCGAAGCATCAGGTTGTAGTCACGTTCCCTCCCCCTCCGTTTTTCTGCCATACTCCTTCGTAACAGCGAGGAACGTGTCTCTCCGTCGGCTTACCTGGGTGTGACACCTGGTTACTTTTTCTTCTTAAGTTCAATACATCCTTGCCGAGGATCCTTCGACCTTTGGACGTGTGTACCGGCGTGCGTCAAGGAGAGGAGAACTGGATGCGATCGACTCGTTCGACTCGAAATAGAAATTATCGGCAATAGACCATCTCCTACCCTGTTGTGCCGCAGCAGTGCCACCGACTGAGTACTCTTCCACAAAGAATGAGCGCAAGCAGGGCATGCGTTGACCACGGAAATCGATTGCAACGCGCACATGCCGGCTGGCAAACGATCAAGGATGTGGATAGTGATGGGACCAATACCCTCGCGATACCTGGACCTTGAAAACGACGATTTCACAATACATTGGATGCTTCTTGATATATGGATTATCACGTTACAGCGACGCGTTCGAATGGGCGTGGGAAATCGATCTGGATTGCGTGTGCGATTACACTGAAAATATATTTGCAATACGTGAATGATAAAGTGTAACGGGATAGAATATCTTTATCAATACGAGAATTAAGAGAAAAGATTAAAGAATTTAATTTGGATGAAATAATGAGAATTGGATGTGTCTGGAAAATTCGTCAAATGGAAATTAATTTCTACAAAGAGGACAATAATTTTTTATGTATGTGTTAATAAAAAAATACAGTTTTGTACATCATTGTGACAGATGATGAAATAAAATCGTAATGATTTTTAAATTTAATAAATTTCGTACTAATACGTCAAGTATCGTATTTCTATATTAATTAGGATCACATCCGTTTGATACGAAATGAAATTATGATTTCATCTGCAAATAGTTGAAATGTCGAACAAATTAGAATTTAAAAATAGCTCTGATCTAATCTATCTGATAATTAGACACGCAAGCGTAACTACGCAAATCTTTTCTATGGAAAAGTTAGCAAGAATTGATCATAGTTACAATTAGAATTCATCTTAATTAATTAATTTCAAATGTGTAAAAATAAGGTTTGTTTCGTTCTAAATATATAAGGTCGTTCCCATCGCTAAAAGGGGGCAAGGAAGAAGCAAAGAGGGAAAGAAATAACACCTTCAAGAATAATAGAGAAACAGCTGGAGCTTTTTGTGCAGCCCGCTATCAAGCCGATATTACTACACGCCCTATCTCGAATGGCTCAAGAACTTTTAGCGAAGTTCCGATTTAAAAAAAATTTTTCCATCAGATAATGTTGAATGTTGTTGCATGGAGTGTATTCATGAGCCGACAAAACGCCTGCGCGTTTTCCATTCTACCCCTCTTTGCATTCTCCGTCTCTTTTATCGCTGAGCACCTGTTGTTCACAAACTGCGTTTCCCCTTTGAAATGATCGAACTTAGTTTCTTCCACACAGATCATTCCTCGATGAAACTGTTACATAATTACATGGGACTATTGATTGTTACATAAATATAAATTGTAACCAATAATTCATTGTTCATTCTTCCTGCAGTATCGCTACATCTTCTTGGATTTGAAATAACTTTAATTTAACACACTTTAATTTACACACGTTAATTCCATCAGGTCGTTGTACCATATTAATAGTAATCGTGGAATCTGAAATTATTGTAATTTAGAAACGTATATTATTGTTAATATAATAATGAATATATTAATATATATGTAATATATAATATAGTATATTCATTAATACATATTTCTAATTATATCTAATAATTATACAATAATTTTTATATTATTATTATATTAATGAACATTATTTTTAATATGACAATGATTTTCGAAAAAAAAATTGTTGTATTCCTGTTATCTGCGACAGGAATACATTTTTTATAATTTCATCAAAATATCGATTGGAAAGGAAAACTAAGCTCTGTGTCGTAAGAAGTAATGAGTCTTTTCTACTCGTTCTTTTCTCTTATTGAGAAGACAAAGACGAAAGTAGAATACTCCGTGTATCAGACAGTCAATTTGTCTCAACGTCCTCACGTTTTATCTTCTATCATTAATCAGTTGATTTTCAAGACGTTGATTTTCTAAAAAAAAAAAAAAAAAAGTATTGAACATGTTAAAAATCCATCTTTATATAAAATTTATTACATTAAAGATCATTACAATTAACCAGTCATTAAGGTATTAAGCATCACTTTCACTCGTGTTTGATTAGTTAAAACTATATGATCTTTTAAATAATTGAAATATTCTCGTTACTTTGCGTGAAAATAATTCTCATTATCATAACAAATATAACAATGAAAATAATAAAAATTAAATCAATGTAACAAAATATTTGGCAATAGGGTAAATAAAAAATTGCATCTTTCTGTAACTTCATTGTGCATTGTTATTACTATCAGTCTGATAAAATATGATAAATAGAGCAAGATATGATACCACTAACAATTTATATTTGTTCTGTTTTCCAATTAAAATTTTTTTCTAATATTAAATTTCTACCATTCTTCGGCAGCATTGTTTAATATATTAAGAAATATACGTACTCGAGTAGAATTGATTGTTCAAGTAACATCGTCAAATTAGTTAGTCGCCGATCTTAAAACTGCATTCAACGTTGCATCAACGAACCTTAAACTAAAAACTATTAAAAACTAAAGTAAAAAACTAAATTAAAAGTATTACAGAAGTGTCAAATTAATTATACTTCAAAATAGTTTTGGAAATACCTCTCGAAATTTGTTAGAAATATTGCACGTGTGGCACAGGCAAATAAATCGATAAAAAAATTTCATCTTTCGATAATGCGAGAAACGATAGCGTCCAAAATAGGTTATCGATTGTATCGATATATCGATTTGCGAACGATGTTTCGAGTATATTTATCATTGTCGTCGATAGTGTCCAGTTTAAAATGTAGCGTACACGTGTAGTTCCTTCAGTTCCCAATTCGTAGAAAAAATAAAAAACGAATCGCATTAGAACTACGATGGCTAGTGCAACTATAAATAACAGTGCTCCACAAGTGCAAATAAAATTTCTTACCAAACAGGAACAGTGAGTATCCGTTTTGACTACCTCTTGTAAGCTGCTTTAGGAGGTTAATTCATTCTGTTGTCACAGATATGACATTGTTCTCATGCTTTGTACAATTTGCAACAGTTTTATTATTTACATAATCGTGATATCTAATCGTGATGAATAAATTTTTTTTAATTTCAGATATGCTGTTCCAGATTTTCCATTATCAGTGCACACATCCATTGTACCCAATGAATTAAATACCCTTGTGAATGAACTTTTGAAAGGTAGTGCACAACTCATTTCTAAATGTGCAGATTTTGAGCCAATGAAATATCCTGTTTGCTAATGTGGTTTGATTTTAGAGTCAACTGAGGTAAAGAATAACATAGAATTTGATTTCTTAGTATGCTCTCAATTTCTGCGCACTTCATTAAGCGAACACATACTAGAGAGAAATATTTCTACAGAGGAAGTCATAATTGTTGAGTATGTTGAAAAATACCCACCACCAGAGCCTCAGGATTGTCTTATACATGATGATTGGGTTTCCGCAGTTGCTGTTTGTGAAAAATGGTTATTTCCTTTATGATTTATCATTGTTATTTATTATTAGAATTGTAAAGTTACTTTCAAAGGTGTAATTTAACAGGATTTTAACTGGCTGTTATGACAATACATTACACATATGGACATCTAAAGGGAAACATCATCTGGTAATTCCTGGACATACTTCACCTATTAAAGCAGTAGCATGGATTTCTTTGACCAGTGACATGGCCACTTTTGTTAGGTATAATTACAAAAGTTGGATTAAATAATCTGTTGAATCTTATAGTCATCTGCAATTTACAGCGCCTCTCAAGATCAGACAGCTATAATATGGGATTGGAATATTACAAAGAATTCAGTAGATTGTATTCATGTATGCAGAGGACATGAACGTGGACTAGAAGCTGTTAATGTTAATTATGACAAGACAGTGATGGCAACTGGAGGATGGGACACAATGCTTAAAATCTGGTCTACAGGTAAATATTTTATCTTATAAGAAAAAGCAGATCATTAATGAACAAATGTTTTACTTTCATTTGTACTTCAGCGAATCAAGATGAAAATGAAGACGGTGAATCTGCTTCAAAAAGGTTGAAATCAGAACATGGTAAAACAAGGGTAAATAAAATAAATGAATGCAAGTAGAATGTTTTTTTAATAAAAAAATAATTTATTGCAATATATATTATTATATTATAAAGATACCTAAAAGAACGATGAAAGGTCACAAAGAAGCCATCAGTGGTGTAGTATGGTCAGATAAAACAGAAATTATAACGTCGTCATGGGATCATACAATCAAAATATGGGATTCAGAACTAGGAGGAATCAAACACGAACTAGCTGGGAACAAGAGTTTCTTTGACCTCGATTATTCAATATTAAGTCGCACTGTCATTACCGCATCAGCTGATAGGCATATCAGATTATACGACCCAAGATCTACAGGTTTCAATTGAAATCTTTTTTTTTATATAAATTTCTAGTCATTGTTACATTAAAATAATTTCTTCTTTAGAGGGAACACTTGTGAAAACAATATTCACGTCCCACACACAATGGGTACAATCCATACGATGGTCGCCAGTGGACGAAAATCTTTTCATTTCAGGAGCATATGATAACGAGATGAAGCTTTGGGATACCAGAAGGTATGATAATCTTCAATTTCACTTAGGCATGTTTATAATGTAAATATGTTTAAGACAAAAAGTCTGTTTCATCTTACAGTCCTAAAGCGCCGTTATTTGATCTTTCCGGGCATGAAGATAAAGTATTGTGTTGCAATTGGTCGAATCCCAAATTTATGGTATCCGGAGGTGCAGATAATACCGTAAGAATATTCAAATCGAAACATATTGTTCGTTAATAGCGAATTGTTACGAAATCTTTACACGTAATAGAAAAATGAAATATTGTGCACAATGCAAATTAATAACAGTAAGGTTTTTTGATCATCTGAATATTTATTACATTCTAAATAAATGTGATCGTTTAAAAGAAATGGAGATGTATTGTCATCGTGAAACATACTAAATCACAAAATCATGCACTCAGTGTAAAATAATCAAAAAATATCGAATCAAATTCTAAACTGCAACAACAAAACTCAAAACTACGTATATGCAAATTAAGATGATGTACATGAAACAAGTACAAAATATTTTCGTACAAATAAATATATTTAACGAAGTCAAAGAGGAAAAAAAAAAAATGCGACTTTAATGAAAAAAATATTTTGCATGGCCTAAAAAAAAGCTCTCAACGTCAAATCAAAATTCGCATTCCTTTTATTTCAATGAGTTCTTTTTACGTGTTCGCTTTCCTTTTTTTTTTTAATTTTACTCTTGTATTTTACATCATTATAAAACCATCATTTAATTGACAAAAGAGGAGATCTAGTAATCGTTCTCATACATTGCCAACATTTTCAAATCTTTTTATCTTCACCTTTACGTTTTTAAGAATTTCGAATCATCTTTATTGCGCACAAATTAAAACCATTTACTCAAAATAGTACAAATCGCATCAGCGTGTAAGGTTGTTAAAAGTACTAAGAAAAAGACTCGTTACGTCCTACCGTATTACCAAAAAATTGAATGTGACATATTAATTCTTCGCAGAAAACAATTTTATCGTCGATTAATATACAGGCGGACGCTGGATGTATCATTACACAATTAGTTAGGATAATGTGGGGGGCTTATTGTTTTAACATTACTTACAAAGGACAAATGTTCAGTCTATTGCACATGCTGTAATTACTACACATTAGTAGATACTATAATTTCGTTTCACCGATTGTTCGATTGAGAAGAACGTGATTTTTTTTTTTGGATTTTCTTCTATTTTTGTTTTCTCTTCTTTTTTTTTTTTAAATTCGTTAAGCTCACTCTTTCCTGGAAAATACCAAAAATCGGTCTCAGGATATAATATTAAAAAAGACATATACAATAGTCGCTATTTGACTCGATAGAAGGCATATCTCTCTCTTTTTTTTTCTTTTAGTATTGGAATACGTATAAATACAGTCACTGATTTTGTACGAGAGTAAGTTTATTTGACAGACTTTACATTTCGTTTGTTCGTTTCTCACAGAAAATGTTCGTTCACTTTTTGACACAACAAAGAAAAAAAACGAAGGGAAACGAAAATAAATCTGTATGTGTTTCCTATGAAACTCAACGAAATTTAGTGCGGACAAAAAGAGAAGTAATAATGGGGAAAACGTCTGAGAAGAAACAATGTTACAATTTGGGGATTCACTCTGTGTTGAGGACCATTCCAGAATTGGCAGCCTGCCATTAGAAAAAACTCAGGAAAGGAAAAGAAAATCATTCGAATAAATCCCCAAAACAGATCGTTTATTGATCAAAAATAAGGGATGATAATTAAGAATTTGATTCTTTCACTTTGAATATACCAAACCATACTTGTAAGTAACTCTAAAAACTGTTCAAGTGCACGCTCCGCATACAAAGTGTAAGAAGTGTGACATTCAGAGCGTGCACACGCAGTGTGCAGTTTACAGTAACAGTGTGTCTCTGCAGTCTGTGTCGTGTCATAGGCAGATGGTTGTTCTTATTTTTTTCTTCTTTTTCCTCTTTTTTTTTTTAAAGTACGCATTATAAATTATGCATACAATTTACACACCACATATTCGTCTCGCACTTTCTCTCTCTCTCTCTCTCTCTCCCGCTCTCACATGTGTTTTCTTAATCTTTTGTATTCACTACTTATATCTCACGTTTCTCTCTCTCTCTCTCTCTCTCTCTTTCGCGCGCGCGTGCTCTCTCTTTCTCTCTTTTTGTTTTCTGTTTTGCATTTTTTCGTTTGTTTCGTTTTTCTCCTCTTTTTTTCGTATTTTTTTCCTTTTTTAGAAGTTCCTATCTATATTACCCCCACATTATCTCACACAAAGACTAGCGTTTTTAAACGATCCAAAATAAACTAAGGGCACTTTTAGTGGCGTATGCCCTGTGTTCTTATTCGAGTTTCATGAAAAATCTAATTCTGACCGTTGTTAAACTTTGTTGTTGTTGTTCTGGTTACTTCTTCATCTTCTTCTTTTTTTTCATCATTTTATTACAGCACCTATCGACTTCTAAGAATCCCTATTTCTTAACTAACTATGACACACTTGCCTTAATCTAAAAATTTCATTACGTGCTATGCCTCGCCATCTTAAAAGTATCCGAAAATCTAATATGTATGTGTGTATGTGTGTATGTGTGTGTGTTCATTTACTTTTTTTTTCTCTCTTTTTTTTTTTTTTAAACCTTTTCCCCTCCCGATTATTCAATCCTCATTTATGAATGCGAACCGTCTAACTTAATGCCTCAACATCGTGTTTCGTTTCTTTCCTTTCTCTCCCTGTCACTTTCACTCCCTCTTTCGCTCGTTCTGAAATTTACGAAATTTTTAATTCTCATGTGTATTTTCATTGGTCGCACACCACATAACAATTAATCATATCGTGGAGACAAGAAACAAAAACAGAAATAAGCGAATCTAGTATTGGTAATTTTTTTTTTTTCTTTTTCGATAATTACACATGTCGTATCCTTGTCTTATAACGCAAACGGAAGATTCGTACGCGACGAAGAATACGACGAAGGGAGTTAGATTAACCCGAAATTACTCACGTGGGAGTCTAGTGCACTAGACCCCCAGGTGGATAATCCCGGGTTAAAAAACGAGAAGTGCGGAAAGATTATGGAAAACAAACCTGGAGGAGGAAATACGGGAAGAGTCAAAGTTAAAAAAAGGAAGAAAAAAAAGGAATAGAAGAATAATGGAGCATAGGGGCAAATGGAAAAATGTTCGTGTCTCTCTCTCGTTATAGCTAAAAAAAAAACCTATCTCGCTTAACAATCGTAAAACAATGACTTAAAACCTCGATGAACATAAGGACTGTACAAGTCGAAGTACAATGACGCGCGTCACATTATCGGAGCATCATCGGAGTCTCAACTCGGACTCGCGTATTTCTTATTTATTTATTTATTTTTTTTCCCCTTAAATCGCTTAAGCCGACGTTCGACTAACATTACATTACTTATTTTTTTTTTTTTTTTTTTTTTTTTTTTTTTTTGTTTCTTATAACGAAACGCTAATCGATCGACGCTTTCAGGAATCCTATCCGGGGAATGGAAGAGTGAAATTGGACGAATGGCGATCGAGAGATGGATCGGAGCATCGCACCGGAAACGTTCGATGACGAGAGGATCCTGTCGATAGATAAGCTTGTTACAGCGTTTTCAGAGTCTAAGGGAACGACCAGCCAGGAAGAAGATGGTCGAAGTAATCTTCGTTTAAACGCGCCGTTAATGTTAATATCTCTCCCCCCCCTTATGACGCTTTAGAGGATTTTAGATTTATCATAGTGAAAAGCAATAAATTGTAACGGAGGGACAGGCGAGAGAGTGTGATATATACACGTGCAAACAAATAGAAGAATAATAAAATGAAAAGAGAGAACTAACGAAAACGTGTGTGTACGTACGTGTACACGCGCGCGAAGGATTACGTAAATTCGCACGATAAAAAGCGCTTCGATCGTTCAGTTTGCGACGAGTCGGTTACGGCTGCTAATTATTAGCAAACGACGTTGTTTATTAGCGGGAGGCGGGAAATAATCGACGAGTATACGGCCCGCGGTTCTAGTCACGGGTACGCACGTGATTCACACGCAACTTTGTAGGAAAGACAAAGTAACAAATAATTTCCGACACGCGTCTTTATTACACATAGAAAAAGAAGAAGAAGAAGAAGAAGAAGAAGAAGAAGAAGAAGAAGAAAAAAAAAAAGAAATCGCGTAAATGGCGAACTAACCGAACAATCTTTAGAATCTTTCGAGTAAACGAGCATAGTTGGAAAGTGACTCGCGGGAGGATCGGGAGTGGCCTTCGATCGGATGAGGCGAAGTCAAGCTTCACGAGCGAGAGAACGGTCGACATCTTATTTCGAGATTCGACGTGAAAAAAAAAAAAAAAAAAAACGGAGTTAACGCGAACAGCAAACAGCGGATCATTTAGTTTCTCGCGCACCGATTGTCTTCGCTCTTGTTAGTCGGTGAAATGTCTGTAAATACAACAGGTGGTCCCCGCCCTGATCCTTTTCGGTTTAGTTTAGTTGAAACGTGAAGTTGACCTCTCGCGTAAAGGAGCTGTCCGCTGAAATGGGGGAACCGATCCCTCTCGGATCGCGGACAGATCGCTTCACGCCGGTCTCAGAGAGATGGCTTAGAGAGATCAAGCTGGTTAGCGCGCGCTTCTATTCACCTGTATTTCGCTCGGTTCTTCTACGTACGGACACAAATTTCGATTGAAAATCGCTTCGCTTTTATTCGTGACACCCGTTTCGCTCGGTTCTCGATGAAAAAGAAAAAAAAAAAGAAGAAAAATCGGCTCTCGGTTGACTCTCCAGTCGCTACCGGCGAGCAGCTCACTCTTTCCTCGATCAACGGCATCTAAACACACCACGAAACACCTGCTCTTCGTTCCCACAACCTTGTGTAACTTTGATCCTCGCGAATCTTGGCGACAACTTGTGTTATTTCTCTTTCCTCATCGACACTCTAGAGACGTAAGAAGATGTTCACACACATCGAATTCGTTTACAGTCCGGCACACAAGCGTGCAAATTGTTTCCCTCACGTTTCCTTTATGAACGTTCCTTGCACAAAATACGAGTACGGTACACGAGTTTCCCCCTGTTCACTCCTCGTCGAGCGATTGTTCCCGGAGCAGCGGAGACGAAGATCGATGAGCTGTTCGCCACGGTGTTCGTAATTCTCCCTTTGGTCGTCGAAACGGAGACCAATGCGATCAATGGTTCGCATTCGAGCGAAGGGAACCAATCGTGCCGCGTTAAAGGGTCTCCCACAGAGGAGACCCGAATTGCCGCGAGCCGAAGTCTAAGCGAAGGTTGTTACAATTTTAGTGCGTTTACGCAAAAATCGCGATCTGTGATATTCTTAAGCAGTACATAAGCGACTCGAGGGGCCGTGCGACGCGCGAGATCCAAAAACTTGTGTGGAACGATGGATTCGACGATGTTACGGCGAGTTGTCTGCCCTTGCGGGATTGTCATCGGCCGCGCACGAATCGGTCCCTCGTCGAATCGAAAGCATAAAGTCACGTTATTTAAACACCGTTGTAAATGTAAATGGCTGATAGCTCATATGGCAAATAAATATGGTTTATATACAACTGGCAAGCAAACTTCCCCCACCTTCACTGCACTTTGCGCGACGGGAAATTTGAAAGTTGATCGTGTCACACTCGCGATAAGAATAAGAAAGGACGTAGATTTTGGCTCGAAATAAAAATGAATTTCAATTTTCAATTTTAATTCTTCTGAAACTGAAGATTAACAAATTATATATATATTTTTTTAATATATAATATATTATATAATGTATATAATATAACGTATAGTATAATAATATATATAATATGTTATTATATAATGCTTTCAATGTCTTATATTTGACACAATATAATGCATTGTACAATATAACTGGTATTTACCGAAGACTGAGAAGAAAATCGTAAGGCAAGGAGCTGAGCTGTAAATCATTGTTGCAAGAAATTCCTGATCCTATTTTTCCTTTCTTTTTTTGTTACAGTTATGTATCGTTCCTTAGCCGACTAACTTACTTGCCTATCTGGCTGCTATCGCTACCCCCCTCCACTGCATCGATCTCTCCACTACTAGTGGAGGGGGTAGCGCTGGCGACGAGGAAAGTAGGGGCAAGGACCGCCAGTTAGCCACCTTTAGTTTACGGCGTAATAATTTCCTGAACGCAGATCAAAGCGACGTCGACGTTCGATTACCGCGTCGATCGATAATAAACAGACGAGCGTCTCGATGTTCCTCTACTTCTAACCCCTAAACGAAACGTCCAAGAGGACCATAAATAATCGACCCTAATCGAAGACTGTCGGAAAGAAGTCCGAAAATAGAGAAAAATCTCAGCTCCTTTTCGTTGTTGCACGCGTGGAAAATTCATACACGAGGAAGAAATTGGAGGCTGCCCGCCCGTAGCCGAGGATGAGCTCTCTGACAGATGAATTAACATGTCACTGGCTGTCTGGCATCTCCTGATTCTCTGGGTAACGCGTTCGAATATACACTTTTTAAACGGCAGATAATAACCGTATGCTTCGCCCGGCGATGAATTCGCTATTCACTTCGCGATCGATCTGTGCAGATGACACTCGCCTCTTATCCCAGAATGAGCGCGGCGCGTTCCCCCTACGTGTCGGAATTCGAATACGTTCCGCAGCTGCATCCCTCCAGGAACCCCGACTGTCCGTTTCGGTTCGTCGATCGCGAGCGAATCCACAAAGATCCGGAAAACTGGGATCGACCGTCGATCGAGATCAGGGCCGTGCTTTCTCCTTGTTCAAGATTTGGCAAAAAGTACAAATATAATAGAATTCGATTGGTTCGAGGCTGACTCTCGTTGATTTATCGTTCGTAGAACGTTCGGGGATGATCTTCACGTTGGTCGGAAACGTAGGTACGACGAGGTGCAGGACCGAGGAACGATAACAAACGACAACTGCACGAGGAAGATACTTATCAGCATGAGGTTCAACAACATCGGCAAGGTGTTCTGATTACGAATTCAGAGAGTGTTTGTTATCAATTAAATTAAATTAATCCGTAACGGAAAGAATCGTTATCGTGTAGACCGAGATCGAGGAGAAATTTGTGGTGATCGATCACGCGCTAGACTCCTTGACGATGAGAAAGATCCCGCTGCGAAATCCTTACGTGATCAAAGTTCGCCAGGAGGCCATATTGCAGTTGTACGGATTGAAGTTTCAAAGCGTGAGTACCACAAGCAGCTGAAATTTCGGACGAAAAGACGTCGTACTTGACACTTTATCTACCGGTCATGATGGAAGTTGTCGTGAGCGACCGACTCAGTTTGGCGCGAATTTGGATATCGCGCGAGAATGTACGTTCCTATTATTTATCGAGCTACCAAGCTCAATACAATTACTTGTAAATTAACATTTATATAATAATATTACTCGAACGTAATAATAATACTCTTCGCGAAATGAATTAATTCTCTTGATATTTCTTTAAAATGTAATACCGCTTGTAACGATCACTCTTACGCAAGGGCATGTTCCAAATTTGCAGACAAAAGATGTGCTCTGCTTCTTCTTTCATCACTTCTTTGGAGAGTTTCGCTATTGCCACTCTGTCAGATCGAATATCGGTTAACATAATAATAAAAGAAGGTTCCGATCGATAGGTTTCCGGTAGATAAAGTACTCAACTGCCGATGTGACTTCGCTGGTCACTTGTCGCTCCGTCGATTTCTCTTTTATCAAACTACGATAAAAAAGAAACAACACGTGCCGCGAAATCTTTTACCCGTCGTTGGTAGACGTACCAGCGGAGCAGTCGGCGAGATCTCGCGGCCACACGTATTGATCGCGCGACTTTGGACAAGGTTGTCAACGCAGAGGCGAGAGAGGAAGTGATCAACAACCGGAGCCCGAATTACACGGGTTGCGACGTTGATTCCGAGCGACCGACCTGCGGCCAAACCTTTATCCGCGGGGAACTCGTTCCGTTCAGTCAGGTAAACGAAAATCCTATTCTGTACACGCGAGTAGAAACGAGAAGACTCGACATCCAAGAGAAAAGGGACTTGTTTCGTTTCTCGAAAGAATATTGAAGTTTCAACCCTTTCGGCCGTTTCGTTTTATTTCGAGAATGTGCACTGGGCTGTGCTTAATTATTTCCAGGTGTTGTATACTAGAGCATACAAAGACAAAAACACAGTAAGTGCGCTTACTGGGAGATTGAGTTAAATTATAACAAAATGATAAATTTCTTTTGGCGTTTCTTTGAAAAATTTTCCATTCTATTGGCGCGACACAGATTTTACGTTATTTTCAAGTGCATATTTTCTTCGTTTGTTTTGTTGCCTCGGAATATTCTAAAATGTGCTAAAATTACAAATATATATACCTACATAATTTTTTTACCTAAATTTTGCAACAAATAGCAAAAGCCAATTTTGTGTAACTTGGCGTTAAACAAAAAGATTCCATCTTTTCATGACTAGTATACACGAGG